TGGCGGTGGCGGCGGTTGTGGGGGCGGTGGGGGAGGCGGTAACCGGCGTTGTTTGCGGTTGGTGAAACTAGTGCTGGCGCTGGCGCTGGTGCTCATCTCATGGCAGCGTTGGTGGTTGTGTTCGTGGTCTAATATCCTTGATAATTACTACTGCTGCTGCTTCTACTACTACTCCTCCTCCTCCTCCTCCTGCTGCTGCTGCTACGGGTACCCCAAGCCCCCTCCAGGACCCCTCCAAGACCCCGCCAAGACCACTCCAGACCACCCCAAGACCCCTCCAAGAAGAGATGTTTGCCCACAGCATACCAAAAAATCCAAAGCATTAGTTACCAAATATCAAACCCCTACGTGAAAAGAAAAGATCTTGTATCCATAGTTGTCATATCATGTTCCATGCTCTTTCCATCTGATTCTCCATAGACATGGTAAAACAACCCTCAGCCCTACATCCTAAACCTTAAGTCCTAAACCCTAAATCCCCGAACCCTGGAATCCCTAAACCCTAAACTCTAATCCCTAAAGCTCCTACTGTCCACACGGGGATTCCATGCTAGTCAGGGGCGGCAAAACAACGCGGGTCTGTCACTGCCACGGCTGCATAACTTACTGGCAGCTAGCACAAATCAAGCGCTGGAAACGAACATCGAAATTTCTATACCTGTAACCCCAATTACCTACAGCTTCATAGCAATTACCTCCTATTGATTTATGAGTATAACCCACTATAAGACTGCAGGCAACTGGGGTTACAGGTATGATGTACACTCCAGGGGTTTAAGGTTGAGGGCCTTCTTCTGGCTCAGGCTAAAGTGAATCTTCCGTGCGGGTGCCAGCGAACGAAGTAATTGGTGTTAGAGGCTAGTATTGGGGACATATGCGAGGACAAACCAGACCCCAATACCTGTCCCTAAACCTTTAACCCTAAGCCCCCCCAAAAGAGATAAAACGTAAGATGAGCTCCAACTCTACACCTCTAAAGCCCTGAAACCTATATGATAAAGTCTGCTCCATGAGCACTTCCTTGCGTCACCTCGGAACCTCTGAAAAAGACAAAGAGACCAAGATATTAGATATAAATACAATTTTAGATAAGTATACTGGATAGGGACCAGTACTTTCAACAAATCATCATCTCTGTCCTCAGCAATCTCCATTATCCTCTGGCCGACCTGCCCCTCAAGATTCCAATACGCCTATCTGCCCCCTACAAGCTTTACACAACGAGGCGCCTCTGCTAACAGCAAGCCCAAACCATGTTCTCGGCAAACCCAACAATACTAAACCCAGAACCCTTGACAATTGAATGCTATAAACCGTGAATCCTGAACGCTGAATCCAGAGCACTAAAACTTCACCTGGCCTCTTCCTCCTGGTCAAACAAGATTCTCCTGAGGGGATTGCCGCATGCCGGTCATGCTAAAAGAGGCTGTATGTTGGTTTCTTGTGCTGGGTCTAGGGGGGGTTCTTCGGCGACGGCGCTGACAATCGCCCGCTCAGATGTAGGGTTCTGCAAAGCAGCGGCTGGTAATACTACGTAAATCTCGAGTCAAACCCTAAGCCCAAGTAGACTCTGCCGGGTGTCCAGTCGGTCTCCGCTGCCTCCTTCGCCTCGCGGCATGCTGCCTAGGCGAATTGGTATGAAGGGCTCTCGGTGTCCAGGGGTGCATGAGTATCCAGAGTGTAGTCCTTACAAGGGCGTCTGGACGTCACCGTGTGCTCTGCTCATGTGAGTGGTGCAGTCAGGTTTTCTCGGTCTGACGCTGTGGTCTGCTTGTGGTTTCCGTGCTGATAGCTTAGTTCTGCTTCTGGGGCTCAAGATGATGTAGGGTTCTCAGAGCTAGAGCTTATGTTGAGGATGCACGAGCCTTCCACAATCAGTTGTTGATAGCAGCTACCAGTTATGACTGAAAATGACGGTCAAGAAAAGGCATGTAACCCATGAGTAAAGGCGAACAGCAAATAGCACGAGTACCATAAAAATACTAGCAACACTTTGCGCCGGCAACTAGCAAAAGGGCTAGGGGTCCTAGTTGTCGATCTGCCAATATGAGATCCCCAGCACAGTTTATACCGCCGACGTCACAAGCAGTCATCAGTACTGAGTATAAAGACCATGGCAATTCCAGCAATGACAAATGGACAGCTTCTTGCTGAGCAGCAGCAAGTACAGATGAAACCATGAGAAGTGATTCTCGGAAAATCCATTCACGTACTTATTCATGAGTCTTTGCATGTCCTCGCCAAGATGTCTCCCAGTACACCATGGTAATGTGGATTTGATAGGCAAGAACAATGAATGACAAGTGCTTCCAAAGGCTCCTAGTCACGTAGCACAGCTGAGCCATGGCTTTTATTCCTATATGATTACATTTCAATTACAAAGACCTTCCGCGAAGGCCTTCCTTCTAGCTTCCGCAATTTAGATTGTGTAGTCTTTGCGCCTTCTGCTTTCCTGGGCTCCTTGTCACGAACCTTTCTCAGCTGGATTTCGGGGCTTGCTTCTGCAAGAAGGCCTCAAAGACTACCGCTCCGATTCTATATTGTGCGTCTACAAGGTGGACCGTGTTCTGGCGAAACTCCTTTTGGGATGCATATTGACATGACGGCTTCCAGAGTGGTTCAAAGCTTCGGGCGGCGAGAAGTGATTTTGTTCCAGGCTTGTGCGCTGATTAGTGGGTGATGCTGATAATCTAGGCTGGGTCTATCGAGTTGGCCGTTCTGGAAACTTGAGAAGGTGCTCCCTTATTGATTTCATACGGGCACTGCACGTTAATAGTTTTTCAAAGGCTCTCAAGGTCAGCCAAGTCGAGTGAAGGGATCAGATTGCTCAATTTGAATGATGCGTCAGGTTCTGAAACCCTGTAGTATGTCAAAAGGGAGACTATAATCACCATTTTGGAAAGGCTATTGGCTATTCTTCCTTTGTATAAAAGTATTTCATGAGAAGAATATTGCTTTACCTGGTTCAGCTACCGTGGTTCACTGTTTGGCTCCTCGAATCTGTCAACAGAATACCCAAGCCTTTGCAATCTAAAATCCTAAGACTTCGTCCACAGTTAACTCCAAGCATTTCAACCGAACGCCCAAGCGCCACTTTATGAGGTCTTGCTTCAAGAGCGGGACGGACACATGAGCTATGTCTGAACTCCTTGAAGGGCGTTACATACGGGGTGTAGGGGAGTAGTATAGAGGTCATTTAGGTTAGTACTAGGAGTTTAGATGAGTTTAGTTTATGGCTCACATTGAGAGGCGCTTGAACATGATGGAGGTTTCTACCCAGACCCCGAACACCACCAAACCCTGAATCCCAAAAAGCCAAGATGAACAATCAAGCCCTAAGCCATCATCCCTAGCCGTGAAGCCGCAGACACCCTAAACCACGGATGGATCCCTAAAACTGACCCATATGGACTCCCTTCTAAAGGTTTAGGGTTTAGGGTTCTGTTTTTCCCGACTCCCCTTGAAGTACCAGCAAGGCCAGGCGTCGCACGGAAAAACTTCACCCTTCAGGGGCGGGGTCCGGGAACTTAGGCTTTGCGGTATAATGTTTAGCAGCTAGCTTAGCATTCAGGGTTGGGGATTTGGTTGTTGGGTTCTGGGATTCAAGGTTTAGGGCATATGCGGTGTAGGGGTTCAGGGGTTAGGGTTCAGGGATTAGGGTTAGGGTACTGGGTTGAGGACATTGGGTGTAGGGGCCTCATGAAGACTTGTTTGGGTTTTGAGGTCGCTTAATGTTGAACCCACTAAGTTGTATTTCCTAATCGCGGGTCTTGGACCGTGTGATGCCTTGCGTTGGCCGACTTTTTATGGGTCAGCGACCTTCAGTTGCACCCTAAACCCTAAACCCTAAACCCCTTGAGCAAAGGATTCTAGGCTACATGGCCCACCAGCCTAGCAGCCGGCCAAGATGCAGAATACACTTGAGGTGCTTCAGGGTTTACTTCTCAAACTCTTGGACCCCGTCTGAAGCCTCATGCAACCCGTAGAAAGAGCATTCTATAAAACACACTATAATCCCCAAGCCCTGAATAGTAGTTTCCATTTTCTTTTCCATTATCCCATTATAACCCCAATATAACCCCTATATAAACCCTATTAATCCGGAAAAGACATGAAGCGTTGACAAGCAAATATGGGGGTGACCTAAAATTAGGGTTACCATTTTGGGAATCCCCAATATACCCTAAACCCTAAACTCTAAACCCTAATCCCTTACTTGGGGAGACTACTATATACATTAAGTGGTCGCAGGTGTCATTTCCACACCGCCGCCTGTGAGCTCGGATGTCCCAAGACTCCTCAGCTACAAGTTAGGTGGACCCTCCCAAACAGTAATAGTAACTATAGGGGATAATAGGGATCATATTAGGGTTTAGGGTTTAGGGATCAACCCAGTAATAATGACTATAGGGGATAATAGGGATTGTATTAGGGTCCTCTTATATTCCGATTATACCACTATTACAGGTGGGGGGCCCTCCTAAGCTACAAGCGCGATTGCTTGGCAATCGTATCAATGCACACACACACACACACACACAGGCGCGTCTGTCTGTGAAGACGAGGCGTGTAGGCTGCACTGCTGTACATGCATGTTCACAAGACTGCAGCAGACCTGCCCTGTAGGCACAAAACAACACGCGTAATTCCATGTGATCTTTCGCCAGTGGAGCCTGCAATTGAAAATCAAACGAAGAATCAACCGGAAATTGACCTAAGAATGCTGTTGCCCTCAATAACAACCTTTGCAAGTCTGTTTAGTTGCCTATGATTTTGCATACCATTCTCCCTGACTTGCTATGCCCCGCACAATCACCTCCATGGGGTATTAATGGTAAGCCGAGTTCCACTGCTTTGGATATCGTGTGCTTTGGATGTGAGTTGGCCATGTTGCTTAGCAACAGCAGCCGTCACTGAGACGACTCGCGGGCCTCACACGCAAACCAACTTTAGCGAACACAAAAGCTTTCTGGAACTTGCTGGCACAAGCTTGCATAGTCTCACTCTGTCTCTGTAAGTTTCTGAAAGTGTTGGCCAGCAGCTGGCGCCACGATGTTCCGTGGCGGAATCTGCTGCGGCACCATCCCCTGCATCACGTAGTTGGCGTTTCCCATTCCCCCAAAACCCATCTCTTGCGGCGCTGCCCCATGCATGCCATAGCCAGGGTTTCCGCCATAACCCATGTACTGGCCTCCAGCCATGCCATAGCTTGGGTTCATTCCAAAGCCAGCCTCGCGCTGTGCTTTCATGTGTGCGAAGGCTTCCTCGCGGCCTCTCTCCCTGCCTTCTGCCCGAGCATTGGCACGTCGCTTGTAGGCATCATATGGCATGCGGAAGCACCGGCCAAGCGAATTAGGGCAAAACCTGGCGGCCAGGCAGCAAGCAGCGCATAGCAGTACAAGGCCGGAGGACAGCGTGACACCTAGGACCAGATCATAATGACAAGACCACCAATCCGCGCCCAGTTCATCCTCTCCATTGAGGAATCGGACAGTGGCCTCGTTCATGCGCCGAGCAACATCCGCAACGTTGGAGTGCTTTCCTCTCTCTGGATAATCAACGGACAGGAGGCTGATCGCGTGACCCATCTTGAGCAGTTTCTGTTGCAGAACTTCAAGGGGTGACTGGTAGCCCAGGCAACCACAGGCATATTCTGGGCATGTCTCGTCGGTGAAGTACTTGTGTTCGGTCGCATCACCCTGCAGTAGATCTCTGTTGAAGCGCGTTGACATATCTTTGATGCAAGACAATTCCAAGTCGCCTACCATCTTTTCTGCTTCTTCTACCTGGCAAAAGATGTCCTTGCATGCATTTAGCTTTGCGGGATTCGGCACCTTGGGAGCTCCGATGATATTTAAGACAAGAGACGTGCTCTCGTTTAAGGGCTTTTGGCCTTCTGCATATTTCGTGTAGTCTTTTAGAAGGCTCGAGGAGGAGGCTCCTGGGTTGACCAACGGGTCATATGTGCTGTGAACCCATCTCTGCTCCTTCCAGAGCAATGGCCAAACCACTACCTGGGGTGCTGTTAAGGAACTTAAATTGAATTACCATCATGGGTATATATAGTAATTAAATATGGTTTCCCAAATAGAGTAACTCAAACTAAGTTCCTTAACAGCAACCCAGCTTCCCGAAGGTTGCTGTTGATCAGAAGCCCAAGGGTTATGTTCTCAACTGGCCGGCTCCTCACCACAACCTGGGCTGCTGCTAAGGACTTGAATGGTGGGAAATTATAGGGATTATATAGGGATTATATAGGGATAATGGAAAGAAAATGGAAACTACAGGGTTTATAGGGGGTATATAGGGATTATATAGGGATTATAGGGTCTAAATAAGTATTTACTATAGCGGGGGCATGTAGTAGCTAACATGGTTTCCATGTTAGTTGAATCTAAGTTCCCTATCACTGCCAACCAGCAACACATGAAACCTCGCTGTGGTTTGCCCAGTTAGACGCATTGGTCTCTTTGTTGATCTCGATGCACGGGCCGCCAAACTTGCTTTCAATGAGCTCCTCCCACTGCTTGCCTGGGTTTAAGCCAACTTTGAAGTTGCCAGCCGTCAAAACAACCACCTCTTGCGGATGCTTTTCCAGCCAGTCCTTGAACCGATCCAAATCGTTGGCGAAGTCCAGGCCCATGGCAGGCGGTGACCCGTGGCAGTTGAAGTAGATCCCGGGCTTCTCTATGTCCGTGCAAAGGTCCAAATTGAAGCCGCGGATGCCGAAGTCCAGCTGCTGCAGGAACTTCATGTCGTGGTTCTCATAGAAGCATTTGAGGGCATCAAGAACGTTGACTCCCGGCACATCTACTTTGACAAGCTCTGGGATCTTCAGTCTGAATGCGCCCGAGTTATGCGTCGTGGCAAAGGTAACCTTGGTCAACGGCAAGTCGCAGAAGGCGGCTGCACCATTGCATGCCCTGGCCGGGCAAAGCAGGGTCCAGACTAGCAGGGCTATGAGCGCCTGGACGTCCTTCATGGCGTCCTCGAGATGCACGCTGACGCTGCGATGTCAAGATGCCGCATGCTGACATGTTGTTCTTCTTATTTTAGATTTTCGTTTCAGGTGGGAGCTTCCATGCAGTTTATCGGCTTGCAACTCAAATTCGCTGGTGGCTTCTGCTTGCAATTGCCGAATGTTTCTAGAGAGCTTTCGGCAATTGACGAGGTGCTCCCGCGCTCACATTTTCGTTGGTGAGCTCTCTGCTGTTTGATAAGGCCTCAACCGCTAGCATGCTGTGTTGAAAGGCGTCTCATACAGGGTACACCAAACAAGCCATACTCTTATTTTACAGTTACAGACTTTGAGCTCATGAGTGCCTCCTCCTTCAAAGCAAGAGCTCTCTATCCTGCGCCAAGCTTGCATGGAGGACTGGGCTGGTGGTAAGTTAGGAAATGGGTCAAACTGAGCCCTTAACCCTGAACCCGTAACCCTGTATCCCACGACCTAGACTCCAACAACCACATAAGTCCTGAACCCGGAAATGGGCTTGTGTACTGCCAAGACCTGACCAAGAAGAAGTCCCCTCAAGCATGCTGTCAATGTTGCTAGCATTCGGGCTTGTACACTATGTGACAACAAAAAATCAATCCAAATTCGCTGACCTTGGTGGCGTGTTGGAGGGTCCTTACGGGCCGGATACACAAACGCCTTACCCGGGGAACCTCTTCGCTTCAGGGTCCCACACCCCGTGCAAAGCACCAAACCCCCAAGCCACGGGCCTCCAGCTCGAGGGGATAGGCCTTGAGTTTGAGATTGAAGTCAGCCAAGCTCCAATTACCAGGACCCTGTTTGTGCCCTTAAATTGGGGTATATGGTCCCTAATAGTGGGTACTTAGGCCCTAATTAGAGTGTAGAAGGAGGGTCTAGGTACAGAGTTGCTAAAAGACACTGTGAGATGGAGATTTTGAACTACTGTATACGGAGGGTTTAGGGGTACAGGTGGGGTTCAGAGATTGGGGAGTGCCTGGTTAAGAGCTGCACGGGGCGCTTCAGTCAAAGTTGGTACATGTGGTAGTTTCCCAAAATCATGGGACATCATGGGAGCCCAATGTAAACCCCCAAATACTATAATCCTTATTATAGGTAGCCCCAAAATGGTACCCCTAATTTTGGGCAAGCCCCCATGTCTAGTTGGGTGTTGAGAAGTTTCAAACTTCGAGGGGAGGAGCTCCCAGCTTTGACAAGGCAGTCCCAAGCAGAAAAGACCTGTCCTGCTGCTGCAGCTTTCTGGGTTGCTGTTACGGAATTGAATTAACTTACTACATTGGGGAAATCCTATTATTTGCTATATGTATATATATATACCCACTGTAACTTACTTTAAGTTCCTTAACAGCAACGAGGTTTAGGGCTTGGAGTGCGGATTTTAAGGATTGGAATTGAGGGTTTCCGTTTCAGAGCTTAAGGTGCATGGACGAGGATTTTGAGTTTAGGTTTCAGCTTGGACTCTTCGGTATAGGGTCCAGAGTTTAGAGTTTCGATTGGCCGGCAATGTGGGGAGAACGCAGGGATTTTAAGGTGCGAACTTTAGAGTCTACGACACTGAATGGAAATTTAAGAAGCTTCGGAATAATTACCTCAAATTTCACGGTATGTTGCAAGTGCCGGCCATATATGGATGATCTGGAATTCCCATCTGGCACAGAGGTCAAGAATGAAAGGCCTCGTTCGCAAAATCTTATCATTGCAAGTCATAACCCACCCAACACCCCTACCTCCCCCCCAAAGACGTGAAGGGAATTGCGCAAATATGAGCCTGGATGATTGCGACAGGTTTATATGCACTACGTATGAAGATAACAATCTTATCCCATTTTGTGGAATATATTACTGAAACTCATGCTTCTGGAAATTGGGCTGCTGATGCGCCTCCTTGGGTATGCAAAAACATAATTTCTTGTGTGCAGGGACCGCCAAAAGATGCCCACTGCATTCTTGATAAACCTCCTTTCGTAGAAACCTAACCCTGAACCCTTAACCCTTGACGCCCATAAGTAGGGTAGGGCCCCGGCGCCGGCGGTGCGACAGAGGCTGGTTATGTGACCTGGGAGAACTGGCAAGGGGGCGGCATAAATCTTCTGGAATCTGAAAGAACTCTGAACGTCTGCGTTCCTGGTGATGTTGAAGTGTCATGGGTCAGGTGACAAGCCACAGCTGAGATGGGGCGCTCCTTTGGTACCTTACGGATTCGCTTTAATTAGGCTTTTGGGTCGCTGATACAAGATGATGTCAAACATACAAAACAATTATGTTATGGATTCGAAAAGGATTTGGGATCCATATTGAGGGCTCCGCACGGCAACTTCGAGAAACTCCCACATAGGCTACGCAGTGACAATGGAGGAGTTGAATGTGAACCCAATCCTCTCTGGACCGTATGAGCGTCAGAGGTTCTACCGTGATTTGCCTTGGATAGTTCCCTCGAAATCCTCAGCCATCAAGACTCTCGGCTGAAGCTAAGCTCGCAATCAGGAATCGCAGCTGCTAGATCTGCTAGTCTGGGCTGCTCTTAAGAAACCAGCGTATGGGTATCTCATAAAGCTACCTGGGTATCCTTATTTTGACATGAATTAAGTTCTTCAACAGCAACCCAGTAGTGATTGCTAGTGACAAACAGCATCCGAGCCCGACCTACAGGCACGGATCCCGCAGGCCTCACGGACATCCTGGCGGCCGGCCTGGTCCGGGCAAAGCTTGTGCTACAGATGCAGGAGCTGAAAACGGCAGTTGACCTCCAAATATACAGTGCCACACGATGCCCAGGCAATACGGCACTGGTGCTTGCCAGTTACGCTGAATTTGTGAGGTCATGGATAAAGTCAAAAGGCGTGCAAAGTTTTCAGATTGTTGCAATTGAATCAGGACCTGAAGTAGGACTTGCTTTGTAGGTACTACCGCCCTGCTCATGTGATTGTACGGCCGAACAGCCTGTGCATTCCAACTGCCGCAGTGCTGGGCTCCGGACTTCGACACCTTCGAGAAAAAGGATCCATCAGCCGCAAGCCATGCTCGCAAGGCTGGCTGCGAGCTGTATGGGGCCAGGGTGTTGCTCCAAATGGTTGTCCCAACCACGAGCCTCCTCCAAATTAACCCTAGACACTAATCCATAAACCCAAGTTTAGGGTTTGGGGTTTAGGGTTCAGGGTTCTGCATAGCACTGATATCCCGCCCACACTCCCACAAACAAAGGGCTTTGAGATTCATGGCACGGAATCTTTCGAGCTGAGGGTTAACCTCTACGAGCATGCTCCACCTGAAAGGGTTCCTGAGTGAGTGCATGTCTGATTTCGTGTGGGTGTGCAGGTGCTGCTTGCCATAGCTGCCAGATAATCACCTGCTGACAGAACGGCTCACACGGTGCAACAATGCCAGCTGAGGCCGTCAAAATCTCAACCAGCGCTATCTCAGAAGCACTTGGCAAAACAAGCTATCATTAATCAACCACAAATACCTCTACAGCACTGGGCTGGTTCAGGATTTTTACGACGTCATGAAGCTTATCACACACTTCGACGTTTCGGGTTTCTGGGCTGAAGATGTAAGGATCAGCTAGTATGATTTTAGGTACAGATTTCCTCGACGCTGTGTTTGACTCTCAGCCATCAATCTTCCAAGCGTACCAGGTGGATAGCCGCCAAATTGAGACTTGGATCTCCAAGGAGCCACATGGGGGTTGTCGGAAATTCCCGGTCCCTTCTTGAGGGTCCTTAGAATGAGGGTTATAATCTATCTGGGTGCATAGTAAGGTACTCAAAACTACCGTATTAGCCTCAGCCTTTGGGTTGTTTACTGCCGGGGAAACTTGACAACTATCCATCTGACACGAACCTCGCCAGGTAAGATCTGTACACGTGAGTGCAGCTGAGTGAAGGCGACAGCTCTCCAATCCTCTGGTAGAAGCTGTGCTGGCAAGCTGCAAGCTGTACAGAAAGCAAGCTTCTAAGATGGATTTAGGGTCTAGGGTTACGACAATCGAGTTAGTTACATGGAAATATACAACTCAATCAAATGTGCCACGTGAAGTCATGTCTGTTTTGGGGGACCATACCTAGCTCATCCCACCGAGGGCTTAGGTTCTAGGATCCCTTTGGGTGGTGCTGCTTCTTGGCACAATCAGACACAGCACCCAGACCTGACGCTGCAACGTTGGTCAATGCTGCCACCTTTGTTGGTTGGACGTGCTCACGGAAAAGAAAACGGGGAACTATCTCTTACTAGATGCATAGGTTTCATTGCGGTCAAGGTTTGGAGTCTAGTAAGGCTCTTACTACTGTGGCGCATAGGAACCCAGAAAACTTAACAGAAACTCGCTCTAGGACATCAAGCTATCGGCGTTAACCATCACAGCTGACCTGGGCAGTGCTTCTTGAATGTGCAGCACTCCCTCGTTTTTAGGCTTGGGGTTGGGGATGCCCTGCAAGAATCCCTTTGGTACACCGTTGGCTTCATTCGCTTGTGGCCGGCTCTTCGCGCGCGAGCGACAGGATCTCCATCCCCCAAGGTTGAGCATCTGAACTTGATTGCCAGATTTCTGGGCTGCGGTTAAGGAACTTAATTGAAGCTACCATATTGGGAAACCATGCTAATTACTATAGATATATATATATATATATACACCCATCCTGGTAACTTAGTTTAAGTTCCCTAAGAGCAACCCAAATGTTTTGGTGACACCTGTTGCATCAATGACTACTTGTCCCAGAACTAACATGGAACCGGGTTGTCCCATTTTGATCCAAAGGACAGTATATTTGGGTACTAAACTCCAAACCCTAAACCACGTGGTAGGATCCCTATACGTGTTCTATGTTCATTTGGGAGAGAGCACCTTCCCCCAGCCTTTGACTCTACGGAATTACAAAAGCAAGCTTGAAGAGTTTACTGAGGCACATGAAGGGTTTGGCTGGGGGAAATTAATGGTGCACTGGTTAGGGTTCGTGGTTTCGGAAATCACAGACTTCTTACTCCCTAAGGGTCCAAAGACCCAAATAATAGGGATTTCGGTCCCAAACAAGCCCTCAAACCCTAAAATATTTGGGTCCTTGGACCCTTAGGGAGTGTTATGAGTTATGAGTCTCTGCATCTAAGCCTCCTCCAGAGACTCTCAACCCGATCACTTCAACTGAGTGGCCATGTCGGTGATGTCCGCAGCGCAATCTGCCTTCATGTGTTGAGAGCTTTGGTTTCCGGGCTTTGGGTTTGGAGAAAGTGTAAAGATGTGACAAGGCCATGATTTCCTGCTTGACCTTGGGTGGAGCGGAGTGCAGGGTATAGTCATCATTGCAGCCTTCACTGCTAGCAGCCGTTGTGTTTCCTGCTATGACAGTTGTCCCAACTTGACTCCGACTGCTGCCGGCGTTGGTGCCGTTAGTGGTGCCTGGCCACCATTGACATATGGAATGTTAGGGCTGCTCGTATGTGGGCAAAGCTGCAGCCTACATCCCTGTGACGAAGAGATGGCGCCTTCTGATCTGAAGCAACCTGGCAGTCGGAAACTGCCAGCGCAGTGAACTGGGCGACCCAGACATAGGAGGAGATAATGCCAGTGATGCCAATAACGCAGGCCTCTGGCTGGCCAGTGGAAGATGGGGTCTAAGCGTACCTGCCTGTAGATTGACACATATATAGCATAGATAATGGTATGTATACACCTTCGAATCAATCTTAATGACAACTACATGCAGGAAACTCAAATAATCCCCAACTCTGTTGTTTCCGAATCGAGGCCTTGGGGTTGGAGCAAGAAAGGGCGGCGGTGCGGATCTGCAAAATAGCCCGAACAAGGTACCTAGTTCCACATGGTGATGCTATGAACGTGTTGAGTTGTACAGTCCTTCTTGGGAGTTGGCATTTCAGAACAGAAAACAATTGACAACGTTGACCCAGGTACGTAGCCGAGTTCGTCACATCCATGACGCACTGCATCATGTCAAAGCTATGCTGGCGTTTGGCCTGCATGTGCCCCTTGATCTTGAGAGCCTTCTGCAGTATGGGCCCAGCGCCGCCCTGTATGAAGCTAGCCCCGGTGTGCACTTTCTTGCTGGCAGCAACTCCCGTCATTAGCAAAGTGATGGGGCCGTGGCTGACGTTGCAGTCGTGCCCTACTGCGGCACCAGAGGTTGCTAGCTCGCCGAAGTCAGCCTGCAGGGAGAAGAAGTCGGATGTGCACAATGCCCCAAAGTTGCTCGCTGCCTGCTTGCAGAAGTGTCGCTGTGTAGATGAACTGAGGACTTCAAATTAATCAGCTAAGATGATGCAGGGAGCAGGAACAGAACGTGGGAGATCAATTTTGAAACCTACATGTTTCCCTGGGCCTAGAACCCTGGCCATAGTAGATGCTCACCGAGGATTTGCAGGCATTTAGAGGGGCCAAGGATCACAGCAAATGCGACTGGCTGCCTGCCTGCTTGCAGGAGCTAGCCGCCAAGGCCACATACGAGGCGATCCAGCTCAGAGATGTAAGCACACCTGTAGCCCGTGCTGTTTGGAGGGGTACTTTAAAGGCCCTGCTCCTTTAAGACCACAATGCTCCTATTCGAAAACGCCTCCGGAA